ATCCGATCTTGATGAAACTATATATTCATATAATATATTGATGAGATCTCAATCAAGTTAGAAATTGGTAATATTCGGATGATGAACAGTTTCAGAGTTATTGCCCGTGTGTGCACAGCGATGAGACATTATTCATGTTTGAATGTGATGATAACTTGATGAACTGTTTCAGGTTTTTGCCTTGACTTATGGATGATTTTAAGATTATTTGAAAATTCATTATTAAGCCACTAAAGATTTTGTTAACATTTCTGACAGCTGGTAGTGGGCGTTTGTTACCTTGCCTGGCAAGCTATCTTTATCTCATCTTGATGAAACTTGGTATGCATGTATATATTGATGAGATCTCAAGTTCAAAAATGGTAATAATTGGAGGAATGGTTTTGAAGTTACGGCCCTTGAATTGATTCAATGCGTCTAATTTGGCTTGTAGGCCTGATAGAGAATACCTTTTTTATTTGTTTTTCGTACGCCCACATTATAATGTGGTCATATATTGTCCGGCCGTCCGTCCACCGGTCTGTTCCTCCACATTTGGCATATAAATGCAATAGAGACAACAGTTTTTATCTGATTTGAACGACATTTGGTGTGATCATTTATATTAATGAGATCTTGGACAATTTCGAATTTGACGATCTTTCGATGAATGGTCTTTGAGTTATCGCCCTTGACTTATGAAAAACGCGTCAAAATTTGGTTGTGAACACAATACAGACTACAGTTTTCATCCAATTTCAATGAAATTGCCGTCACCCATGTCCGTGCGTCCGTCCGTCCACAATTGCTCATAAACACTCTACACGACACAATTCTTGACGGATTTTGACAAAACTTGGTGTGAGTGTTCGTAATCACCCAAGGATGAACCCTATTGAAAATCAGAAGAATCGAAAAATATTAAGTATAAGTTATTGCGCTTGCTGTTAAAAACAGTTAATTTTTAGCTCGTAAACACTCTGAAAGGCACAATTCTTCACATATTTAGATTAAACTTGGTGTGTGTGTTCGTTATCACCCAAGGATGAAGCCTATCGAAAATCATAAAGATCAAAAAAATATTTAGTAGGAGTTACTGCCCCTAATCTTGAATATGCGTTCAATTTTTAGCTTGTGAACACTCTGGAAGACACAATTCTTGACGGATTTTGACGAAACTTGGCATGAGTGTTTGTTATCACCCACGGATAAGCCCAAATGAAAAACAGAAAAATCGATTGTCCGTGATCTTGAGAACGTGTTCAATTTTTAGCTCGTAAACATTCTAGAAGGCTCAATTCTTGACAGATTTTGACTAGACTTTTGAAATTGTTTATTATCAACCATGGATGAACCCCATTGAAAATCAAAAAACTCGAAAAATGTTTCATAGGAATGCTAATGGAAATAACACACACGAACACAGTTCACAACCATTTTGAATCACCAATCTCGACTTAATAAGTCAAATTAAAAAAAAAAACATAATATTTAAATAAATCCTTGAATGGAATTGTACGTCCTACTGTTCTGCACTATAAAACCTTAAAATAAAATCCCATTTAAGTTGTAAACTGCATTTCATGTGTGTTATCTCCACGCAATGTCCTATATTTTACCCCACTTACTGTAGACTGACTATGCTATTAACTACATCATTCTTATTGTGCCGACCTTGCAAGGGAAACAAAATGTTATTCGTGGTCTGTATTCATATGAAAAAATATTGTTACGTGCCTTTATAAGGACTCCGGTAATTCATTTGCCATCTGTTTCCATATTAAATCTCGAAATTCAACCTTCTATAACTTTTTCCAGAAATCTCGTTGAAAGCTTTCCAATATGTCGAATGAAAGCATTGCCAATCCTTAATAAAATATTAAATGTATGATGAATCTGAAAATTTTGAGCTACTAAAATTAAAAGTAGCCTACTACCGTTTATATTCATCCACTGGTGTTTTGCTGTTCACAAAACGACTATTTTTAGAATTATCCTTCCGTCTTTAAGTCTCTCATTATCTCACCAAAATCTTAAAGATAATGCAATTTCAGACATGAAATTCCAAATCTAGACCAAAAATCACTCTTAAATAGGCATGCAAAAACCCCAAAAGGGAGAGAGAAAGAAGATTTCTAAAAATAGCCTAGACTACATTCGCATGTTATAGTGGAGTGAGTCCCATAGAGCCTGGGAGTTTTCAAAGAATTGTCTTTTCGCTATATATTCCCATGTTTACTCCTATAAATATTGTATAATATGTTTTGTTGTATTATATGTTTTGTTGTATGATATGTTTTGTTGTATTATATGTTTTGTTGTATGATATGTTTTGTTGTATGATATGTTTTGTTGTATTATATGTTTTGTTGTATTATATGTTTTGTTGTATAATATGTTTTGTTGTATTATATGTTTTGTTGTATGATATGTTGTGTTGTATATGTTTTGTTGTATTATATGTTTTGTTGTATTATATGTTTTGTTGTATAATATGTTTTGTTGTATAATATGTTTTGTTGTATATTATGTTTTGTTGTATTATGTGTTTTGTTGTATTATATGTTTTGTTGTATTATATGTTTTGTTGTATTATATGTTTTGTTGTATAATATATGTTGTGTTGTATATGTTTTGTTGTATATTATGTTGTGTTGTTAGATGTTGTAATAAAATTGAGTAAAAAGTACACTATGATGAGGCAGAAACTTGGTTAAAAGCAATAAAAACTTCATATTAGTGTCAAGTCACGTCTATAGTGTTAAGCTTTTAATCACTGCACCCCCTCTGACTAACAG